TTTTTTTTTTTTTTTTTTTTTGCAATTTCAATACGGTCAATAAAATAAGTGGCTATGAATGAAAAGAGTATCACCTGAATTAGAACGTCCTAAATCGCTCCTCCATCTTCCTCTACTCCGTGACCTGTAAATTTTTCGAAGCAGTGTTTCAGTCACGAACAGGGTGTATAAGAGGGGGAGTGGTGAAAGGGGGTAGTTAAAAATTCCTCCAAGACCTCAAAAATCTAGAATTTGAGTTTTTTTGTCCATGGGAAGACATCAGAAGCAGAGTCAGTCACATGTAAGAAAATCTCAACATTTGTATGCAGTTTTTCATTCGACGAATGTAGGTATATTACATGTTTAAAATGTACTCAAGTTGTTTTTTAAAAAAAAAAAATTTTAAGTAAAAGTAACACATCTCACATGATAATTTGTAACAGATTTTTTTTTGCTCACAAACAATCCACACTAGGTGCCTAAATTTAAGAAAAATTACATTTTTCGATTCTTAATATTTTCTGGCAATTTTGAGTTGGAGGTCGACTATAAAGCCTTGTTTCTTTATACAATATGAAGAAGAATATCTAGATGCAATTTTTGTCTACGAAGGTGTCAAAAGCAATCGTATCTGTAAATTGCATATTTAGGCACATTATCGACATTTTACTCAATAGATTTACTTGTTGATATGATCTTAAAGATGCAAAAAATAACTCTGTTTTGCTACGGAAAAAGAACATACTGCCTAAAAACTTGAAATGAAGCTGGCACTTAGTTCTTGGCACCAGTGTATTGAGTATTGATTTAAAAAGTTTTTATGTAGATAATGCCTGAAAATTTGATAACAACTAGCCGTTTAAAATTGCCATCTCGTAGACGCATGATAGGTGTGTTAGGATCCCTAAAATTCAAGTCCTTCAAGCTAGAGCTATACAATAAAACGGTGGCGGTCTACTTATTCAAAATTAATTTATTCTCTGTCTTTTTCAAAGATATATTACATCAAACAAGTCAATTTTTAATGTGAGTAAAATAGTGACTTGTTATTACGTACATAGAGTTAGACATCGAACGCCATGCTGACTGAGCTCGTTCACGAAAACTATTGCTGAGGCCTAGCATGCTTGGTCTTGACATGTAGCCTGCTTGAAACTGAAATTCAAATTCAAATGTTTACACCGAGTCCATTTTAGGGCCTAAGGGCAGATTATGGTACAGGAGATATGGTATCACATTAAACATAGTGACTGATCAAAACAAAAGGAGGGAAGAGAAGGGGATTGCCTCAAAAAATAGTGAGTTGACCCTTTCGTTTTTGGCCATCACATATTATTAGAGATCACATTCGTGTGATTGAAGTATCTCACTGGTATCAGTAGAGAAAATTTGTTTACTTTTACAATTTTTTTTGTTTTGTTCCTGATATGAAAAACTGTTTCTAATCAGGAAATATCTTCATATTTCGTAAATTTAAAAATATTCGCTTTTTTAAAAAAAAAAATTGTTGAGGCGATTAGTTCCTTGGATATCAGACATGGAACATTCTAAATCTTTCCTAACATCAGTTAGATATGTTCACTCATATAATTTGGCCAGAACTGCGTCAGAAAGATTTCACTGATACCACCGAACTTTTGCTAGTATCAGAGATTCATATTATATACTAGCTAGATGACTAGCTGCTCATATCTGACCAATATCAGCGAAATTTTATACTAGTTCTTACTGGTCATTTCTACAGCAGAAGAAGGTGAGAGAGAGGAGAAGGAGAGATATGAAGAGGAGACACGGGACGGGAGGAGTAAGAAAAAAGAGACACATTATAAATGGCTACGCTGATTCGTCCCACAAAGATTGACGCCACCGGCCACACTATAGCTCCAACAGAAAATCTGAGATTGTCCCCACAGTGTGTGGCCCCACACAACAGCATTTTTCAAAGTCCGAAAATGCGTTTTCGCAGTTGATCTCCGCCACACATTAGTGGGTGGATTCGCCAGTATTTACGCCGTTTTATCGCTTGAGTGGAAAACCGCGTAACAGCTGCTGATTTCCCCCAAAAATCTGTGGCGAGGATCAACAGCAAAAAACGGTCACGAAACACCTGTTGAAACGCGCCACAGAGATTTCCCCGACAACCTAACTTTCACTTCAGCGTAGCCTTTTAAATTATCACGTACAGCAACTGCACAGGAGAAAAAGAACCACAGCCCGCTAAAACTTAACATAGGGTGCAAGTGTAAATACCTATTCTATGAATCCTCAAGGACAAAAAAACACGCATAAAGTTCAAACTACACGATAGTGACGGTGGTCTGGGACTGGTTTCCAGTTAACGAAAAAACGTCGTTTCGAGAGAAAATCTACAAAAAATTCCACTTTACCATGAGTTGAGCTCGCAACTGCAGGATTGAAATGCAACTTCACGCCCTCTCTCATATTAAATGGACTGGGCCACTCACGGCGTACTTTAAAAATAGAAAACTCATTTTGTCAAGATCTCAAAATCCGATTTTCGACTCAACTAGACGAAAATAGCTCTACAGAATTTTCCCCCCTAGGATCCCTGGATCCTCTCTCTGATGGAAAGTCATTAATTAATATGCAGTGAAAAAGCTCAGGGCCAGAGAGACTTAATTGCATCCCTCTGTAAAACGCAACTTTAGAGGTGCAACCCGGGGTAGGGAGGGGGAGTTTTCGGGGGATACGAATCTTTCTGGAAATTAAAAGTGTTAGGGAAAAGTAATTTTTCGTGAATTTCATTTTTCTTTTATTTCTATCTCTATGGCTACGCCACTGCGTGTCGGCTTTTACAGACATAAAGAAGAACAGCAAGAGCGCACCATCAACAAAATAGGCACTGAAACACCAAACAACTTACTATGGAATATAAGATCTAGTGACGAATTACGGCCTATTAAAGATAAAAAAAAAGTCTTATGGCTACGTTTCTATAAGAAGGAAGGGTTGTTTGTTTCGTGACCGAATAAATTATTTGCAAAGAAATAGAAAAGTCTATTTGATGTGATTTTGGGAGCACTTGATCGCGTGGGTAGCGAAGAATTTTCATGTTATAAATTGAGGCACTTTTCGGTGAAAAGGGGTATTCGTTCTTGCGCCCATTTTCGGAAGAACGCATTTTCTGAATCCTACTAATGTTACCAATCCAAAAATATATAGTTTGTATACGGTGGGAAGTAAAAAACTAAAGATGGAGCCGTCGAAATGAGGGTACCTCGGCTGAAATTAGAGGCATCGGCCAGGTGCCGAGGTGCGGCGAGTATCTATCTTGTCGCGCGCGCTGCGTCGAGTTCCTGCTCATTATCACTTGCTTTTCTTTGGGATGAATGTAAAAAAAAACGCCTCTCAGTGATTTCAGTTTTGTTTAAAACACTTGGTAAAGTTTTAAACACTCGCGAATTCAAAGGGGTATTATATTTTCTGGATGCTCCTACGGGTCAAAATCGAAATTTCGCAATCTCTACAATCCTGTGATCTTAGGATAGCAAGCTCGCGATGTGCACTGGGCGAAGATGGTACCGAGGTAAGTAAGACACCAAGAAAATACGACTTGAGTGCGCGCTCCGCACTGAGGCATACACGCAATGCATGAAGGATCTTGCCGGCTTGTAAGGCGCTCCTATACGTGTCGCGCCGTGCACGCTAGCCCTGCGCTGCGTCGCGCCGGTCGTACTGTGTTTGACGAGATCATTCAAACTTGCGGCGTCAGCTAGCGATTTTCAACTTCAGATTTTGAAGTTTTTGTACAGTTGTTTGTACGAGTTGTTGTCTTTCAAATGATAAAACTTAACATGAGACCCAACTAATTTTCTTCCCTTCATTTAGGTACATATGTTTACAAATAATTTTAAATGGAAGCATGTAAATGAGACGACTACCTGTAGGCTTCCTCGTTGCTCATGCTCAGTGATGTAATGGCGTGACCATTTGGACAACATCTTGCTATTAGGAACTACAATTTCTGGCTCACGTGAAAAAAAACTTGTGTGCACAAGGAAACTAATGGCACATACGTTGTTCCTAAACGAACCCTGCTAAAAATGGTGGGTACAAATAAGTAGAAAATCAAAGTTATATGAGTAGAATTTCAAATCATATGAATAGAATTTCAATTCATATGAATAGAATTTCAACTTATATGAATAGGATTTAACTCAGACGAGCAGAATTTCTCTATTCAGTTTTCGCTAACTCATATGACTAAAAATTTCGACTCACATGAGTTCAGCGTTGAATCTACCGTGTCTTATGTCTCAGAAACTAGTCACTGCATCAAACAAAATTTTAAGAACAAAATGTTTTTATTTTTCAAATTACTTATTATGTCGGTGTCTCCTGGTCAGAAACAGCACTTCTGAAAAATGAAAAAAAATTGAATCCATATGAGTTGAACTTTTCTACTCTTATGAGTAGAATATTCGAGTGATATGAGTAGGATTTCAACTCATATAAGTAGGAAGTTCTACACGTGCGAGTTGGCGAATTCTGAATAGCCTACTCATCATTTTTAGCAGGGATTGCCATTCTGCGCTCGATTCTCGGAAGTTCACAATGTGGAGGTAGAACACGTTTTCCTAGTTTGCGGATATAGTCGCGGAGTAAGCGATCACAATTTTGGTGAGCACGACCGCGTTATGAAAAATGTACCGATAATCTAAACCGCCGCGGATCATTTGCGGATTATTGCCGAATGCCGCGAAAAACCGGGCGTTTTCTGGACGACTTCGGACACGCCTATCTTGAAAAACTGGTCGGCCATCTTTATGACTATATTCAATGATTTTCTATGATTTGAATTATGATAGCTTTTAGCCAGGATTTTAGATTCATTTTGTCACAGGGTTTTGTTCGTCCCTCTATTTTTTAAAAAGATTTATCTTGAGTTTAAAAACGCTCAGATTTCATTTTTTCAGGCAAGATCAAGATGAAAAAAACCAGCAAATGCTTTTAACACTATTTAATTATATATTTTTCATTATTATTTGATGAATCATTACAAGAATAGTGGTAAACTTAATCTTTTATCCGCAATATCTCAGCAAGTTGACGTGCTAGGTAGGTACTTGGAAGTTTGGCTGGTATTATTTAAAAGAAATACATAAACTCAAAAGCTAAGAAGGGATGATCTTGATATATAATCGATTTCATGGCCGCACTGAACAATATGAGTTCCCATTTAAAGGCCTTTTTGCGTGAATCCATCACATATTTCGATGATAAAACTTGAAAAAAATTATGTGTCTCGATTGCAGTGTTCTTAAATTTGCTCTGAGCGCCCCTAGGACTAAACCTCATGTCAATTAAAACCAAAGCTAAAAGTCAAAAACAGCGGACTCATACAATGCAGAGATTAGCATTTCCCATTGCGCTGAACAAAATATTGACATTGGACGAGTAGATCTTTAGATATAACGATGACAAGAAATTTTTTTGGAAAAAACTTTGAGAAACTGAAAATTATAGAGCTAAAAGCATCTATGTTTGCATGAAATTTTGAGGAAATATTTTTGATGAAGTTAGGCATTTGCTTTTGTTGGGGAACAAATGAAATGTGATCACTGTACTATATATTTAGAGAGTTTAATGCCATTGAATCATTTTACACAAAATACACTCCTAAATTCAAAATATCAATCCTTAGAGAGGAATGCAAACGTAAGAGCTAGAGACGGAAAATTCGAGAAAAATAGTGTTAAAGTTAGTCATCACTGCCGCCAAATGTAGAAACGATTCATTTTAAACACTCATAACATAATTTAATGATACAAATAATGAACCAAAACGTTTATGTAATCTTCTTGAAAATACTTGCTAGAAACCAGAAAACTAAAAGTAAAAAAGTTTAGCCCAAAATTAGTTTTCCTGCACTCCTGAGCAATTTGAGTTTCCATCATAATTCACATTTTACCAGACTCCGCCTCATTTTAAGATTGTCAAAGACGAATCATTCACATTCCAAGATTTTGAAAACGGTTGATTCTCCTGTAGTCTCTAGCATTAACGTAGGAATATGACGGGCAAAATATCGTCAGATACGTTATGAGTGTACACTCTTGGCAAAGACACCGTGAAAAGTAGGTAAGACTTACTGAACTGGAGGGGCTGAAACAAGTAAGGAGACCCAGTAATATCCAAAACCGCATCTTCCCATCAGATCGGTCACCTCAATAATAAGGGTAGCTCCGTGGATCCGTCAGAACGGCTAGCGGTTTTTCTCGAAGGGTGAAACTGAGACGACGAATGAAAAAGATTGAGAGCTTCACGACACCAAAAACCCTTCTCACTTCATTGACTTCAAATAGCTAACCTTTTCTGAGTTCATTCCACTACGGCGCGGCGCGGCGCCACGCACCAGCCGTGCGCGCATGTTTTTTTGGTGATTATTACTCAGGTTGACGTTATACACCTTCTAGTTCGTATGGCACAGAATATTGGTACCGGTGGAATCTGATGGAAAATTAATGTGATACCCAGTTGCCACTTGCCTAGCAAATCATACTATTTTATAATGCTCTTTTCTGGAAATTACGGTCTCCAAGGATTTACGGTTCCTTAAATCCTACTTTTTCGGTGTCTTGTGGATGTCCAGTAAGAAAAAAACTGGGTTACGAGAGAAGATAAAATTTTATGTTTGAGCTAATCACTCACAAAAACTCAAGGATGGTGCCTCAAAATGCGAGCGAAAAGGTTTCCTCCCTACCTAGTTGGTAAATAATCTTATTTTTTAAACCGAAAATTCGCGTTCTCTTGCAGTTTTTTTGTAAGTTTACTTAAAAAATTTAATATTAAAAATGAAAGTAAAAGGTCATGTTTGCAATGGCTAGAAAGGTATACATATTACACCATAATTATGGATGATCGTAAAGCCAACACAAAATGTTTGCATATTAAATTGATTGGGTTCGTATTAAAATAATGGACACGATAATGATGATTCACGTCCTTTGTACAATGTGCAAAGAACGAGTTTGAACTTCGAAACGCTCATATTTTTGTCGAGCAATTACGTGCTGCAAATAGGCTTTTCGACTCCGGATTTTTTCACCCTTTCTATTGCGCAGCAGTCATTTTCGTCTGATGGATTTTTTTTTCGAGTAAATGGAAGAAGCGTCATCAACCAACTGCGATCAACGTCAAGAGATATCTAAGAGACGAATAAGTATGACTTTTTTTCCTCTTTTCATATTCCGCCTCCTCTTTTTCGCCATAGAGGTACCTAGGTCATTTTCCTAAGGGGGCCCTGGTAAAAATTGGCGATAGGAGCTGCGTTTCAAAATACCATAGGAGTTCTTATAGCCGACTGAAGAAGGCGATAGAAAATCATATAGCTGGCTGTAGAAACTGCAAAAAATTACACGGCCGGGCTACACGAAGCGATAAAAAATTATACAGCCGGGCTATAGTTCCTATCGCCGGGCTTTACACTTTATCGCCTGGCTGTTGCGTTTTCGCCATCGATTATAAAAGGCTATAAGAAATTGTGTAGAAATTCGTGTGCTTTGAAAATCATTAAGTTTGATATGGAACCACCTTAATATTGACAAAACACACATTATATTTTCCTTTAGTACATATTTTTTTTTCATCAATTAAAATGAGAATAATCCATACAGGATGCGCAAACATTTCAAAATCATGAGTTGAATAACGCTTAAATATTAGAGCCTAACACAAAGCGGAGCGGCGACGCACTAGCGCCTACAAACCTAACAGGGATACTTCACGCATTGCGCAATGCGTGAAGTATCCCTGTTAGGTTTGAAGGCGCCAATGCGCGTTCAGCGCTGGCTGCCCGCCCGCCGCGCCGCGCCGCAGCGTACCACGGCGCTTGAAGCAACTATTTCACACCAAAGGTATTGCACAGTATCATACGAAATTACAGGCGCTCCAATTTGTTAGGAATGGCAAACATCCTTCAAAATTACGGAGCTTTCCTCGCAAAATAAATCAAGATACTACGGCCCAAAAAGAGAGCGGTAGTCGAAAAACTCGCTAAGTCCTAGTATCCGTATTTAGTAACGTTTAGCATACATTTTATCGCCAGGCTGTTGCTTAATCGCCATCGGCTATAAAAGGCTAAAAGAAATTGTACACCCGACTACGGAAGCTATTGGAAATCTTACAGCCGGCTGTAGGTCTATGGTATTTTTGAACACAGATTCTACTGCCAATTTTTACCCGGGGGCCCTGCAGCCCTATTGTTGAAATTTACGTCGGCACCGCAAGAATCGAAAATCGATATATTACACGGTGCGGATAGGGCTGTCTTGTCTTATGTTGCCGACATAGTTAGTTAAATTTTCAACAATCAGACTGCTGACCTCCTTACCCCCAGAATTTTTGAAATTTTATCGAAATTTTAAATCTATTTGAACGCATTTTGAGGCTCTCGCGGCGCAAATTTTTCATCCATATCTGCAGAAAAGTTACGTTTATTTTATATCTTTCAGCTAAGAATACTTTCAAAGTGTTGCATTGAATATATCCGGAAATTTTAGAAATAACTCCATTTGGCCGCATTTTGAGGCTTCCATGATGAAAATTTTAGAAATACTAAGTGAATGAACACGGTGTTTTCAATTTAGACTCTACATTACGAGAGATAATTAACCTCGACCAAGGTCTTTGCCCGCCATTCAGAATTTCTGGTGGGGGGGGGGGCAGATGATACTCTTTCAGATTCCAACCACCGGGTCCCAACCCCCCCTCCCTTCGCACGCCCATGCTTTCTTCCCTTCCTTTTCTCGCTTCATGATGTGAACATANGGGGGGGGGGGGGGGAGATTCAACTGGTTCCATTAGCAGTGTCGAAGAACTTTAGTTGAAATAAATGGTCCGCCTTTTTAAAATACAGAATGGCCCTAGACTGCAAGTATCAAGTGGCGAAGGTTTAATTCAAAAAAATTTTGATCTACCTTAAAATTTAGACGGTAAAAAATAAAAAAATGGACTAAAAATTTTCCGGCCATCGTAACGCAGAGTAAAAGTGAAACAAAAGGGAAAGATCATAATATTTTTTGCGTGATGACGTAAATCCACATTGTTTTGGTTTTGATTTTTTCTGGTTATCAGACCTCACGATATCAATAGCAGTCGACCCCTGCTTTGAGTTCTGTAAAGAGAGTTTCCAAGAAAAGAACTTAATGTCCGTGAATGAAACTCTTGCATGCCTCAGGGATTTGCGATGTAGGTATCTACTGTTTCACAAGTAAAATTTCGGGAAAACACGATGACATCACTGGTTTTCTCTAAAACAAACTCCGAAACTGACAAAAAGGTATTGTAGTTGAAGCCGTAATGGAGGGTAAAAAAACACCCCCCAGTTCAGATGGGGGTCCGGAGGGCCTTCCCGGAAAATTTGTGAAATTTATTTGGATGGATTTTGAGGGTTCTGTTACGCCGATTTTCAATCGAATTCTGCGGAATAATTTCGCTGTTCTCTTATTTTCAGCATAAAATGATTTCGAATTATTGTATTCAATAGATCCGGAAAATTTGTGAAATCTGGACTCTATTTCGACCCATTTCGAGGCCTCCAAGACGGAAATTTTAAAAAATACTAACTGAATGAGCAAAATGTTCTCACCCTTATACTCTACATTAAAGAAATAGATGTCCTCGACGAAGTTTATCTCCCACCATTCACTATATCTGGGGGGGGGGGGGGGTATCTTTTTATGATACTATTTTCAATTTTTTGGGGAGTAGGGAGTTAGGTCCCCCTGGCCCATAGGGGATCATATTTGCAGAATTGCTGGCCCTATATTTAATTGAAACAGCCCAAAAGTTGGACGGCCACGCAAATTTGTAAAGGGCCGCTCAGAGTAATGGATGTATAATCGTGACTTGGGTCGCTGACAAGTTGACCCATAATATGAATTGGTACAGTCCATGATATTGGGCGAGTTATACATTTTGGAGGGCCACTCTAAATTAATTAAAATTTTTAATTTATTATAATTTTATTACGTCGGTCGCAGTCATGTAATAAACGTTGCAACCATCACTTCTTTTTAGTGCCATAAACATTTTCGCAGGACCTGCCTAAGTGCCTAATTCATGCAGACAATCATGATTTAAGCCACCGTCCGACTTCAAAACCAATACAGCCAAAAATGTCTGGCAGGCAGGTCTGAGTCTGACTTATCAAAAAATCATGATTTGTGCCTCTGGCTTACTTTTAAACTGATATGATCCAAAATTTTCAGCGCCTCGCACATTTTCGGTGGGTCGCGGCCGGCTAGAGTCAAGTAGAGGATTATTATGATGTGGGCAGCCGGTGACCGATTCTCTTTCCCTTCTCGCGATCAAAGACTTTTATCGTCTTGAGAATTTTCAAAGGGCCGATCTGAGTTCGGTAGATCATAATTTTGGCCGCCGCACCGCAGTTCAAATTCGGACTTTTGTTTTCTCTTCGCTATGAACGTTTTTCATTATTTCTGAAGCAAAAAATTGCTTACTCGCTCGGCGGTTTGGTGTTTCGCATGGAAACTTTTACTCTGCAAACATTGTAAATTGCAAAACCTTTAAAACCATTAAATTTCAGCCTCACAAATTACTAACTCACATGTGGAGAAAAAATAGAAACATGACAAGTATGTAGAAGTTGGTCATGCGATCAGTGAGCAGTGGCATTTAACGTCATTAGGTGGGAAAGGCTTGTGCGTAAGTTCGATCTGTTTGCAGTTGAAAATGTCTGCTCTCAAGTCAGAAAGAAAGAGTAGACACAGATTTTTTTTCCAATGCTGTGTTCACCCAAAACTCCACGTGATAGCGGGTTTCATGTTTTCAAATAAAATTGGTTCAAGAGCACCATCGCCAAAGCTATTCGGTAATTTTCAGATTTTACTCGTATAGAAAAATGCATGTTTCAATAAAACTCCAAATAATTTTGGCAACCTTTAAGAGTAACCGTTTCGATTTTTTTTTTAAAAAAAAAACCCCTCATCAAGTGATCCGATTAAAAATGACATCATTCCACGAGGAGAGAACTTAAATTTTCGATGAACGAACATCTCGGGTGAATAATTTGAATGAGAATTTAATTGAAATAAATTGGGACACGTATCATTTTTGGCTAAATTCGGCTCAGAGTAAAATTTGTGAAAAAATTGAACGAGGGACCTCTTTTTCCTGCTTCAGTATTCTGATAGGTAATTGTGTTTTTCAGCTTACATATCGACGGTGTAAGTGCAGAGGTGTATATCTCGGAAAACACAATTTTCCAGGAGAGTAAAAAAGCTGTCTACATTCCTCCTTATTGTTAGAAGGG